ACACTAACTTTTCAACTTACTAGCCTAGTGGCTAGTGATAACTTAGATGTTACTAGCCAAAAAAAATGTTTTTACTAGCCAAGTGTTGAGGTTGGCTACCTTACTACACGAAATTTTCGCGACATGTTTATTTCATGGTTTGGGGGTGTGTATATTTTGTGACACTTAAATTCCACAATTTTGCAAAATTTTGTGTATTTTGAATCACTGTAACTTCTCCTTTGTGCGTAACACACAATTTATTTGCTTGGCAATGTTACTTGAACATGTCCTTGAATTTAGTAAACTGACTTTATCAAAGTACAATAACGTCAAAAGTAACAAAAACGCAATGGCGGGACTATATGTCAACAGTAACATGATGTGTTCTGTTCCCAACACTAACTCTTCGCATCACTTTAAATTTGCAATTTTTTTAAGACGTGAAATTCACGAAATTAACTGGTCGCGAAAATTTTATGTAACAAGGTAAGTCCAACAAAGAGCAGAATTACTAGCAAGACTTGAAAGCAAAATGCAAGCATTTCTCTTTAATACACAATGTTGGTAACTACATTGAACTTAAACTAGTTCCAATAAAGTTAATTCCAGTTCCTGAAAAGACTTTCAAGACTCTGTTTTTCTTTGAGACTTCCTTGGAAGAATATAGAGACCCTGAGACGTCATTGTAAAAACTATTGAGACTTCTTCACAGACTGACAGGCACCGTAGAAAGCAAAACAGCTATTTGAACAATACTGCAAACTATCGTTGGTGAAATTTGACCGCTAAAAACAACTGATTTAAATGTCAAAGGAAATAAATCTTTCTCATCTAATTATTTCTGTAATGGTAAGTTTGTAAGTATGCATGCCATGACAGATCACCCATGTATCGTTACTATATAAATAAAATGTTATCCCTTTACAGTTCCACACAGTTTTGCAAATGATTTTATCAGGAAGCTTGAGTTTTGTTCCACTTATTCAAACAAAAAAGAACATTGACGTGTTCTTTCAGAAAATGCTGTCTTGTTTGTCAAGTATTTCTTTCAACATAGTAACATCTTCAGTTATCTGTTTATGTACCACACAGCCAAAAGTAAACAAACTTAAATTTGCATACGTGCTGAACAACACATGCCTGGTCACATGGTACATGTATGTCCACAATGAAATTCTGATCTTGTTTCCGAGAAAAGGGTTTGTTTTTCTTGAGAAAAACTAGTTCGGCCAATTTCATTTTGTTTACTAGCAAAAGTGGCTAGTGGAAATCGAAAACTTACTAGCCAAAACTAAATTTCTACTAGTCTGTGGCTAGTTGGCTACCGTTAGTGTTGAGCCCTGAATTGAAAACCAGTACCTGGTCAGCGGTCAATTTGAAAAACAAGAGTGGCCTTGATGAGCTCCAAATCTGAGCCTGCAATATGGTCATGTGATACTGGTCGGTGGTTACCTTGTTTTGACAGGTGTCAATTGATCAAATATGTACGCTGTAAACCAAGGCTGCATGGCTTGGTTGACCTATTTGCAGGAGTATGGCCACCATATTGAGCAATGTTGTCATTGGTTTTGTCATCATAGGGCACATATGCCCACAATCAATGCCGCTAGCCATGTCGACCATGGTTTTCTATCTCTATGCATGCATGTGGTTCTGTTCAGTTATGGTGCTTCATTTGGCGGCCCTTCGGGCTGCCTGAGCTCAGCTATTAGACTCAATTTAAGGGTTAATGTTAGGCCGGGTTAATGTTGTTCCTCGCTGAATTAGTAAGATTTACGTTAACACTATTTGGTCTCTGCTATTGACCCTCATTCTTCAAATAGGATGTACAGGTGCACACTGTGTTATGTCTCATTTCATTTGCAGGCTGTCGGCCATGCACCAACCAGAGCATATCACAGCTGTAACTCGTTCAATGGAGAGCTCCTGGTGTTTGGAGGAGTGTTCCCTAACCCTGATCCACAGCCTGATGGCTGCAGTAATGAACTTTACATCTTTAACACTTCGGCAAAGAATTGGTACAAACCCATCACAAGTGGGACCCCGCCCAAGCCCAAATCAGGGTATTTGACTTATTGTTTTACTCAGTCTGAGTAAATGCTTATAAAGTACATTTGAAAGAGAAACTTCTTGAGAGTGATATTATTGTAGCTTTAAATTAAAGTCAATTTTACTTATTGTTACTTATTTTTTCCAAAAAATGTTATTGCCGTGGCATTTATTAAACATCCGTTTCAATCTTTTAGAGAGAAAGGCTTTATTTTAGAAGTTTCCACTTAAGTATGTACCAATGATGGAATGGTGAAGACAGCAAGGTGTGATGTATTGCTAGCTACCTCAAGTCACTTTGGCCTCATCTTCTTACATTTTCCTCAGTTGCAGAGCCAGACCTCTTTATAAAGTGGTGTCCAAAACATTTTCAGTCCATTGGGCTTTGACTATTTTCACCCACGTAGGAGGGAGGAGCCCTCAGATCCCTACCCAAACTAGATCTGCTACTTTTCCTAATTGGTTATTTTTTGTTTCTTTTGGTTAAATTAATGCCAGTACTGATCAGTCTGTGATTAAAGACCAACTAAAGGTTGCTACATTATAAATAATTTGATTTTTCTCCAACTTAATTTGTAGTCACTCGGCATCCTTGTTAGGAGACAGATTAGTCATATTTGGAGGCTGGGATTTTCCACAGTGTTTCAATGATGTTACTATTATAGATTTAGGTAAGTCTCATGAAGGTTCTTATGAAGGTTCAGAACTTTGATTTAGTGGAAACTTTAGAGGCAGCATGGCCTAGCGGTTAGGGCACTGGATTTGTAATCTGGAAGTCCCAAGTTCAAATCCTCCTCCCTCCCACTAGATGGATTTGTGTTTGGTGATCCCAGATTCAACTCCTCTATGCTTTGTAAATAGCCAGCTGGTCAGCCTATCACCAGTTGGGATTATTTTTAACAAGTTTCTGTTTAATTTACAATATTTTTTAAAGCTTATTTCAGTGTCCACAATTAGTACAGCAGTGCTAAACACTACAACACTTAAATAAAGTGATTTATTTTTATTTTTTTTAAATTTTATTTATATTTAGTTATAGGTGGATCTTATACCTGCTGTGGTCACACTCTATACAGTAATGTTATTTATATAATAAATTATTCAGGATTTTACTTTAATGGAGAAATGATGTCCAACAGTTTTATGAATCCAGCATTGCCTTGATAAATTTGATTCAAAGATTCCAAACATGCAATCATTGAACTGTAGCCACCATTTGAATATCAAATAAATGAATGAATGAATGAATAAATGAATAAATGAATAAATGAATAAATGAATAAATGAATAAATGAATAAATAAATAAATAAATAAATAAACAAAATTGAATAAATAGGAATTTGCAGTGGCACATCCCACGGAGAGGCTCTTTGTCCACTGTTTCTAGATCGAATTAGAATTTAGAGATATTGGTTTTTGTGGAGGGAGGAAAACCGTAGAACCTGGAGAAAAACTCTCATTGCAAGGCGAGAACCAACAACAAACTCAACCTACTTATGATGCTGGGTCCAGGATTTGAACCCGGGCCCCATTGGTGGAAGGCATGCGCTCTCACCGCTGCGCCATCCCTGCTCCCCATATCAACATAGAATTAAACATAGAACCTCTTTCCAGTCCAACGAGTGAGGTGATAATATTCTGGAAAACACTGCATTAATGAAAGCATTGGTCATCATTCAGGCAGAACACTTCAGCTGTTTTGAGTGTAACAAGTTAGTATGTGCATTAACAAAAGTTAGCCCAAAAATGGCACATTTCTGCCTATGGGGAATGCTATTAGTTTCCAGCACTTCTATTATTAATATAATTGAATATGTTTGATGACACATTACAGCTGTGATGGAGTTTTCCACTCCCACTATCACTGGTACATTACCCTCACCTCGTAGCTGGCATGCTTCCACAGTTCTTCCAAGACAGAGGATTTTTGTTCATGGTGGATACGATGGCAATCAGATACTGACAGACTCCTTTGTTTTCGACTTGGGTAAGTTCAGCCTGTACCAGCTTAAAGTGAACAATACTATGAACAACTGATATGGAAATGCATATACAGTCAAATCTCCCATAAGCGGACACCCTCAGGACTAGAGAAAGAGTCTGCTTAATAAGAGAGGTGTCTGCTTATGGGAGGTTTAAAATGCACTGTTTATATTTGGTTAGGACTGTTACTAACTGTTCGCTT